TTTTAATTTTTTTTTTGCTGTTTGTCTATCTGTCTGTTCGAGCTGCGGATAAGATAAATTTTCCTTAATTATCTTATATCTAAATAATTTCATATTAATAGATCCCATCCAGGCCAAGCCGGGGTAGGTCGCTAGTACATAATGAGTCACGACGTAATCCATCACCCTATTTCCGGCCGTGGGAGTAGTAAGAGGTAACTATTGTAGGTGCTTAAAAGATCTGTATAGATAGTTTACAATTGGAGTGTATATTTTTACATGTATGTTTTTTTATATCTACGATCATATCAAACTATTACAATTTTATTAATAATGATGAACTTCAGAGCAGAACCATTAAAATGCGTACTTTATTTTATTTTTTGTTTTAAGAATGCAATTTTTGATCGATTAAAATGAGAATGTACAAAATACATTGCTTGCGTCCTTTTTTACAGTGTAAAACATGTTGATCAATTTCGGCGGGAACATCGAGTGACAGATGTTGGAGGTCGGAATGAAATTTCCCCCTGGAAATTGAATGTTCGTGAGCAACTTCCTTATTAACGTTGACAGCGCCAAAGCTCTGGGATTTTGATTATGGGCAGCAAACACCGGTAAGTGATTTAGTCGCAACATTCGTATGAAAGATGAATCAAATGAAATTTAAATTGTTTAAACAACTCTGTACTTCATCCTATCTTTTCAATAACACGCGACAGAGACACGTAAGAGAATTTCTGGAGGGTTTTCTCATTATGCGACAAATTTTATTTAGTTATAACACTGTATTTGGTATAAAAATGTTGACATCCTCAACTGCAAGCTACACAACTAAAGCATAAACCTTTTTTCAAAGTGAGAGTTCGAGTGTGAATATCCATTTGAATATGTCGTCTCTACTTACTGGCTTAAGTCTCACAAAACCCAATGTCATTTTTTAAATTGCTGCTACTATTGCGGAATTCTCCCATTTAAAAGCACACTAGTATATTTACCCGTTATATATTTGTTGGTGTAAATTTAATACATTTCGTTTTATTTAGTTTAATTACCGTTTTAAAGCATATTATTGACATTAAACTTATTTTTTACAGACATTTAAATTTTGTTTGAGTAATGACTCGGCAACAGCGTGGGAGAATGTTGGTGTTGATCTGATTGAACTTATTTTCAATGGATGGGAGAGTTCACAGGATTATATGGAAAACGGTTACAGCTAGAATATTTTGTAATGCGCGATGGCAAGGTCAAACATTCACGGTTATGCCCAGAGAAAATCAATTGGTTACTAATAAATTTTTTGCCATAGTATTCAATAACGTGAACGGAGGTATCAAATTTTTTCCAGACTGCTGTAGATATATTTTTTATTTTATTTTTTGCTGAGAGACCAAGGTACCCCCCACTAGTATCAGCGGGATTATCCATTACTTTCCTGACAACCTGTATAAAATTCAGCTTTTATACTATAACGTAAGTACAGTTTATCAAAGTTTAAGGGTGTCTGGCTAGGGGTTGCCACTATACTAAGTTGGACTGACTGGCAATAGATGACGTGATTTCTAATGTTATTCCGAAGAAAATATGAGAAAATCACACGTTATACTATGACAAATTTAACTTGCTATCTTATACACCTTTGCTATCTGTTACCTGCCAAAGCCACGATGATCCAAACTTCATAGTAGCCCATCGTTCCTACCTATGTTGGGCGCTGATAAATTTTAAGCCTTTGTAAAATAAGGAAGATCTGGAGATCACGGGCTCACGTTTTAATATAGATGAAAACTTCTTTTCACAAAAATGTTTCGCTGGGTTTTTTGTTGGTTCATACAGAACAGAGGTATTTTATTAACAAGTTGGTAAGTAAAATACAAGAATGACTTTCAACTAGTATTATTTATAATCTATATTGAATAAGTATAATCTTTTGCAATTTCTGTTTTATTTTTTCCCGGTTTTGTATCCCGGGTCTTACCAAAATCATTTATTATGTTTTTCTGTCAAGATTGTTGACTGTTGGTCACGTTGGCACGGAATCAGGACGGTGTTTCAACCCCTTGCCTCGGAAATAACGTAAAGACGTTGATTAAGCGCCTGATCTCTCTAACGGATTGGATTGAACGTAATTGAAATTCGCCAGGAGGACTGTACAATGCCCCAAAAATAAAACACAATACTCAGTGGTGAGAATAGGTAACAACCATTTTAATTCATTCAACACTACATGTAAAACAGGTGAACTATTATATCGCGATACAGAAATCGTAATACGCCATCTAGCGCTGTTGCTTCGAACTTGTACAACACAAACATATGTTGTACGTTGTTAAGAAAATAATTTATCGGGTCTTAACATTCCGCCCGCCATGGACTAAGTCCATAATTAACAATTTTTAGATTTTAGGCAACTTATAAACGAAAAAGGTAACAAAAATTAGGCTCTTATTTCAAGTTAACTTTCAATAAAAATGATACAGAAAATAACAATAAATAAAGGCATACTTGAGTCTATGAATGAATGGTTACATAAAAATGTAGTGATTGAACATGTAGACTTTCTTATAAAAAAAAATGTAAACAAAGGAAGAAACTTGACAATGGTTATTATTTTATGACAATTAAATCTTAAATTTAAACACAATCTTTGGGTAATAATACTAATTTAGATACTGGCCGTTTTATGATATTGCCCTTATATTTTAAGGTTACTACGCGCGTGAGACCGTCCAAACCTGGGTGCTTATCGGTGATGATACCTAGTAACCACCTCGCTGGTGGGAGATCGTCTTCTTTGACCAATACTACACTTCCCACGTCTGGTTCAGGAACTTGGTCCGACCATTTATAACGATGATGGAGCTGAGTCAGATACTCTTGGGACCATCTACGCCAGAAGTCCTGGACCATGCGTTGGGTTAAATTCCACCTACTCAGGGCACTAATATTAGAGGTTTCGTAATTCATGTCTGGTACGAGAACAAGAGGTTCGCCTACTAAAAAGTGACCCGGAGTAAGTGGATTTGGGTCATCAGGGTTGTTCGATATCTGACAAATGGGTCTCGAGTTGAGGCACGCCTCAATCTGAGACAACGTGGTAGTCAACTCTTCAAAAGTAAGGGTGCTATCTCCAATTACACGTTTTAGATGATACTTGGCAGATTTAATACCTGCCTCCCACAACCCTCCAAAGTTTGGAGAGTGGGGAGGAATAAAGTGCCAGTTAGTACCATTTGAGGACATCCAGTCCTGTATTTCCGCCACTACAACAGACCTTTCTGCGGAAAACAATTTTGTAAGCTCTTTAGCACTTCCTACAAAGTTAGTAACGTTATCGCTCCACAAGTCAGAGACATGGCCTCTTCGTGCGACAAATCTTTTGAATGCAGCCAAGAAGCTTTGCGCAGTCATGTCGCTGACCACCTCAAGGTGTAGGGCTTTCGTTGCCATGCACACAAATAAGCATATGTAGCCCTTTGTGGAGCGATAACCGCGACCCTTTGTAGGTCTGACTTGAATTGGACCCGCGTAATCAACTCCACTCTTGTGGAAAGGTCTGTGTGGGGTAACTCGTGACGATGGTAGCTGACCCATCATCTGCTGGCTTGTTTGTGCCGAGTAGCGGATGCAAGTCACACACCTGCGGACAAACTGACGAACGAGACTTTTAGCGCCAATTATCCAATATCTACTTCTAAGATAATTGAGCATGATTTGAGGCCCTCCGTGCATCGTTTTAGAATGAGCCTCGTCGATTATCAAATTTGTGAAAGCTGACTTGTGGGGAAGAATGATGGGGTGTCTCGTATCTTTATCGACGTTCGCCCTCTGTAGTCTTCCACCAACTCTAAGAATTTGGTAAGTGTCCAAAAAGGGATTCAACGAGGTAAGTTTACTTTTTTTTTTAACTTTCTTTTCCTTTCTAGGTCACCGATGTCTTCACTAAAACTTCGTCGCTGACACATCTTGATACAGGAAAGTAACGATTCATTGATTTCCCTTGCTGTTAATTGTGTACTAATCTTTTTCCTTTTTTCTTTAGGTTCCTTCCAGTGTAGGACTCTACGGCAGAACGACACAACTCGGGTAAGTTTTTTCAGGGATGAATATTTCGATAGTAGATTATCTTCTTCATTATTTGCTGCCGTCATGTAGGTCTTAATTTTTGGTTTCCTCTCTTCTAGGGTTGTGTCCGTTATATTCCTTTCGTAATTTATTACGTCAAACCATAACCAATCAGGGCCTTGATGCCAAAGCTGGTTTGTCACACATTCAGATGGCATTAAGCCTCGCGATGCAGGGTCTGCTGGGTTCTCCTTTGAGGCCACATGCGACCATTGGTCTGCATCCATAACTGAAAGTATCTCAGAAACCCTGTTTGCGATGAATGTTTTCCATCGACTGGGATGGCTACTGAGCCAAGCTAGAACTATTGAAGAATCGGACCAAGCGTGTATATGTTCTTTAGGTATTTTCAGTACCTCCGATACTTCATTCAGTAGTTTCGCCAGCAAAACCGCACCGCAGAGTTCTAGGCGAGGGATTGAGATTTGTTTTATCGGAGCTACTCTCGTTTTAGAAGTGATCAGATTTACGTGAACTTTTCCCTGAGCATCCACGATGCGCGCATATACTACTGCTGCATATGCCGCATTTGATGCGTCTGAGAATCCATGTAACTCACAGACCTGATCGTTTGGATGCGAGTGAATCCATCGAGGAAATCGCATCTTAGCTAAATTGGGCAAATCGTTGCGGAATTCTACCCATTCCTTAAGTAGGGATGACGGTAGTTCTTGATCCCAGTTGGTTCCAGTTAGCCATATCCTCTCTATAAAGATCTTCGCTGTGATGACAGTTGGTGCCAACCAACCCAATGGATCAAAGAGCCGAGCAATGTCGGAGATCATTATACGCTTCGTAACGAGAGCTTGGAGCGGTGGGAGGTCGACGGTACACTGGAATTCGTCGGTGTCCCTGTTCCATTTCAGGCCGAGAATTTTGATCACTTCGTCTGTTTACAACACCAGAGAATTATTGGACTCCTTGGTGTCAGTCTGTATTTTATTCAATAAATCGACGCTATTACTAGACCACTTCTGAAGTGGAAATCCCCCACGTTTCAATAAAGCAGTTATCTGATCATAGATCTGAACGCCTTCGGCTACTGTATAGCAACCGGACATCAGGTCGTCCATATAAAATTCGTACAGCACCTTCGGCACTGCTAATGGAAATTTGGAACCTTCGTCATGGGCTAGTTGTTGAAGACATCGAACAGCCAAATAAGGTGCTGATGAGGTGCCAAAGGTAACTCGCAAAAAGCGAAGATGCTGAAGTTCAGCATCTGGACTTTCGCGCCAAAATATGCGCTGAAAATCTAAGTCCTCATCAGCTACTCTTATTTGTCTGTACATCTTGACGATGTCAGCTACTAGAGCGATAGGGTAACATCGCCATCGCATTACAATATGACGAAGTTCCGGTTGAAGTGTGGGGCCTACCATCAACTCATTATTAAGGGATACCCCATTTGAATCCGTACAAGATGCGTCCACAACCATACGCACCTTTGTTGTGGTCTTGTCATGACGTACTACGGCGTGATGTGGGAGATATACTGATTTCTTCGCAAGTTCGTTAGAACTCACTGCTTCCATATGGCCAGAACTTATATACTCATTTATAACCTTTGAGTATGCGACTTTAAGTTCTGGGTCCTTCAATAAACGCTTTTCCAAAAGCAGAAAACGTTTGTTCGCTATATCCTTTAGATTACCACGTAGACATAGTGGATGTTCCCTTTTGAATGGTAATCGTACGACATACCTACCGGTCTCATCACGCCTTGTTGATTTGGTAAAGAATTCCTCGCATCTCTGCTCTTCTTGAGACAAACGGTTGCACATACCAAGAGATGGTTCGGACTCCAATTCCCAAAATCTTTTGAGAATTTCGTTCTCGTTGGTTTGCATGGTGTGTAGACTTACTACATTCATGCACGTTTCGCTACCAGTGACTTCTCCCTTATGGCTGGGTATTCTGCCAGATAGGACCCAGCCCAATCTCGTGCGTTGAGCAACCATTGAATTAGACGGGCCCCTGATTATCCCTTCCATTAGAATCTGGCTATATACCTCAGGCTCGAGGAGCAAGTCGATTTTATTTGGCATATCAAATGTAGGATCCGCCAACATATTCGAAAGTGCGGGCAACACTTGAACAACGACCTTACTACTTGGTAGAAAGGTTGTGAGTCTGCTGAGTACATGAGCTTTAACAGTAATTGTAAAGCTTGGGTCAAGACGGGACTGAATTTTTATAAACACAAACGACTTTGAAGCTAAGGTCGCTTGGTCACTGCCAAGACCTGATACAAGACTGGCCCCAGGAGTCCTTTTGAGTGCCAACATTTGTACAGCAGACTCTGTTATAAACGATGCCTGAGACCCCTGATCTAGAAGAGATCTCAGGACAAAGGTAGATTTCGTTTTAGGACACTCTACCTTTACTAAGGCGGTAGCCAATAAGACTTGCCCGAGCATGTTTGAAACACAAGTGACTACTTGTGGAATTGATTGCTCACCACTGGTTAGTGGTAAATTTGGCTTAACTCTTTCAGCCTCCTTCACAGACTCATCAGCCGTGACACTCTTAAGATCGGTAGCTGATTTTGGATTTTTGGGATGTAGTAGGCTGTGGTGTTTTTTCCTACAGAGTCGACACCTAGTTGACGCTGTACACTGATATACCGAATGATCTGAACCGAAGCAATTAAAACATAAACGATGAGTTTGAACGAACTCACGACGCGCATCGACACTTTCTTTAGAGAATTTTTTACAATTAAACAACTTATGATTTAAAGTACAGAAAGCACAAGCTACTAAAGTAGTGGCAACATGAGTACAGTTCGCCTTTTCGACCCTTTGAACCCTGGTATCCAAAAACTCCAAAGACCGGAATCTACTTTGCAAAAACTCCTCAAATTGATTAAGACTAGGCAAATCCTGAACAGAATCGGAAACCCTTTGTTCCCACTGGTTGCGGGATTCGGGATCCAATTTTTGAGTAATGAGAAAAATTATAATTATGTCCCAGTCACTAGTTTTAACGCCAATATTTTCTAGTGCATGTAGGCATTCCTTCGTGGTATCTAATAACTGTTTAATGGCACCCGCGGACTCTGATACTAAAGCCTTTTGGCTAGTTAACCTCTTCAAAATATTATTAGCCAAAAATCTCTTATTGTTGTAGCGACCTTCTAATTGTTCCCAGCAGACTTGATAATTATCCGACGTTATTGGGATATGTCGCAACAATTGTTCTGCTTCACCTGTTACACTACTTTTTAGATAATGAAGTTTTTGGACATCATCGATACCAGGGTTCTTGTGTACTAAGGAAGTGAATAAATCACGGAAGCTCACCCACTCGGTGTACCTCCCGGAAAATTTGGGCAATGTAATTTTCGGCAAGCTAACTGAAGGTTTTTCGCTAGCTATATTAACAGGTTCTACAATATTATCAGCACTATACCTTAACAATGTTTCCTTTAGTAATGTCTTATATTCGAAATAAAGTTCCTCAGTTTGATCATAAATATCCCCTGTATGGTAAATAGATTTTTCCAAGTCCTCTTTCCTAAGTTCATATACAATTTTACGATGATTTTGCGAAAACACAGTCCAATTGCTTTCTAAAGATTCTAAACGCGTTTCAATATACGATTTTGTTATTCTTTCTTTAGGGGATTTTTTGAAATTTATTTGAGATTTTTTAATTTTTGATGCAATATCCTCTTGAACCTTTACATAATTGTCAGCCATGTTTCGTATATTTTACAGTTATAAATTTAAAAAAAAACAATAGCAATATCCAAAAAAACAAACTGAGGAAATATCTCAATACACACGCTCACTTAACATTAAATACAAGTCCCTGTAGATAAATGACAAAAAATTTTACAAAGTCCGACGATACGCAAATTTTTCTAAGTTGATTGTTAACGACAAAGATTTTTACAAGTCCAAGACGACATACACGAGATTATTCTGAGTGTTGATTTGACATCGAAAATTTTACAAGTCCAACATTACACGAAATTATTCTAAGTGATAAATTGACATCGAAAATTTTACAAGTCCAACATTACACGAAATTATTCTAAGTGATAAATTGACATCGAAAATTATAAGTCTGAGATTGTAACAAATTATTCTAAGTCTTTTTAACTTATAAAATTTGCTCTTAAAACCGGCGTGGATTCCCCGTAGGTACACTTTTGTTGAAAATATTCTAAGTCCTAAACACTTCTAATTTTTACTCACTTCACATGCACTACCTTTGAAACTGTACAAGTCTAGAGCTTCTTGATAATAAGGTTCAAAATAGTACTCACGGTTTAATCTTCACACAACTCACACGACACATGGGTGTACACCGGCGGTGCTCCTCCCCCTCTGCGCCTGCCGCGATCCGGTGGGTGCCACAGGAGAACTCCTCCCCTCAGTAGGCAGGCCGCTCTGCCTCTGGTTGATGTCGCACAAGAGGGCTTCCTCCCACTTGCTTCGGTTGACGTCGCAGGGGCTGCTCCCCCCGCTATAGCTCCTGCGCCGGTACCCGTTGCGGCCAGCTAAAGCACCATTGACAGCGATACGCTGCCCGTTCGGCGCCGTGATGGACTTCGTACAGGTCAACCCCACTTTAACCTTAATCCGGCAGTCGAAGGACCAATGTACAATGCCCCAAAAATAAAACACAATACTCAGTGGTGAGAATAGGTAACAACCATTTTAATTCATTCAACACTACATGTAAAACAGGTGAACTATTATATCGCGATACAGAAATCGTAATACGCCATCTAGCGCTGTTGCTTCGAACTTGTACAACACAAACATATGTTGTACGTTGTTAAGAAAATAATTTATCGGGTCTTAACAAGGACAGTATGTATGTTTAATAATTGAGAAAAAATTTACGAAGAAACAAACTTTCACCACAAAAATGTTAAAAGTTGTAGTCACTTTGTATTTTTTTTAAATATGGAGGTGACAAACGAGCACACAGTCCACCTAATGGTGAGTGGATGCTGTGGCCCATAGATATCTGCATTTGTCTTCGATTAAGAATCAAAACGCAGATGCGTTATCACCACTGAGCACTACGATGGAATGCCTCGTTTCTAGTAAAAAGGGTCTCCAGTTCTCACCATACGAAAGTATGCTGGAGAGATATATACTGGAGATCCGTAAAATGCTGCTAGCATTAAACTGCTATTTTACGCTGGTATTCTGTGAGAGCGGAGTCCTTCTCCCGTCGAGCCGACCCATTCGTGCTGCAACCATAATATAGGTGCAGCGTGGCTCTACCACGTAAGTAAGTTCATAGCTATTTATTGGGTCATAAGTTCTGTCCAAACCTTATTATTTAAATTTTTTGAATACTGGCTAAATGTAGTTTTTTTTTTTAAAAGGACTACCGCCGCCCATGAACAACTGCAACACCAGGGGAACCAGGGGAATTGCAGATGCGTTGCCGGCCTTCTAAAAAGGAGTAGGCTCTTTACTTGAAGGTCTCTAAGTCGTATCGGTTCGGAAAAATCACTGACGGTAAACGATTCCACAAGGAAGTCGTGCGAGGAAGAAAATATCTTCTAAATCGCACAGTGGTGGACCGCCAATCATCCAGATGGTGTGGATGGTATCAGGAGTTCTGCCGCGATATGCGTTCGTGAAATTTGGCGGCTGGGATTAATCCGAACAATTCCTCAGAGCACTCCCCGTGGTAAATGCGAAAGAAAATGCAAAGGGATGCAACATCTCTTCGCAGTGCTAATGAATCGAGCCGTTCGGAAAGGACTCGTCGTCGACTATTCGAGCTGCTCTGCGCTGGATGCGGTCAATTGGAAGGAGCTGGCACTGGGGAGCCCTTGCCCCGATATGGCAACAGTATTCCATGTGAGGCCGAACCTACGCCTTGTAAAATTGCAGGCGGTGTGCCGGCATAAAATACTGTCCCGCTCTGCTGAATACGCCAAGCTTTTTAAAGGCCAACTTGGCCTTCTCTTCCAAGTGACCACGAAACTGCACGCCACTCGATATGTCGACTCCGAGGATTCCGATACTGGCTGAGTCAAGAAGGGAAGTGCCTTGAAACTGAGGAGATACGACAAAGGAGTTTTTTTTAGCGGTAAACGCGCAAACTTGTGTCTTCTGCGGATTAAACTGGACTAGATTTAGTCGCCCCCAATCCGAGACTTTGTTCAGCAAAGACTCGACTTCAGACACAAGTTTGTTCTGGTACTCGGCGACGTTTTCCCGAGAAATACGGCACGGCCGGTGTATAGAGCATCACCAGTGCTGTCATCCGCATAGCAATGAATGTTACAAGTTAGCAACATATCATTGAAATG